TCTCCAAACTTGGGGAGGAGGCCCCCCAACCCGAATTTCTGGGAGGGGGGGGAGCGGGGGGAGGCCCCCCTAAAGGAGAAAGGGGGGGCCCATTGGGGAGAGAGGGAGGAGGTGAGAGCGAAAAGAGGGGGATTGGTTTAAAATTTTTTTTTTCTTGTTTCGGGGGGGGGAAAGGGCCTTTTTTTTTTTTCTTCTTGGTGTGGTTTTTTTCTCGGGAGAAGGGTTGGTTGGTTGGTTGGGTTGCCCGGGCAAATGTTGTTGTGGTTGTTGTTGTTGTTGTGGGGAAGACCGGGGTTTTCCCCCGCCGGGGGGGGGGGGGGGCTGGTCGAATGTCTGTCTCTACGCCAGCGGCAAAAGCAGCAGAGGGCGAAACTTAGGCGGGAGGAGTCTCGATGGGAGGGTTATCAGCTCTGCTCATGAGGGAGTTGAGACTTCTTGGGTGGGGGGGGAATTGTGCCGTGTCATTGATTGCCGCGCCGCTCGATTTTCCCGATTATAGCAACACCCCTGCCGTATCCCACGCGCCCCCTATTATACAAAAATGCACGGCGGCGCTAGGAGCCTTCCATCCTAAAGCCCATTTCATGTCAGCTTGCCTTGTGTTGTGTCTTGAGTTTGTGATGCCAATAACCCTGTGTGTGGTCAATTCTCTCGCTTTCAGTAATGCCTCCTTGTGTATCCCTTGGAGCAGCTCCTCTCACCTACCGTTCACGGCACGAGGCGTCGTCGGGGACAAGTGAGGTACAGCAGGCCCCACCCCATTCATGCCATCTTGCCTTGTGTGTTGTGTCTTGAGATTTGTGATGCCAATAAAACCCTGTGGCTGTCTGTCTGTGTTCGTGTGTGTGCCCTTCGTGCGCCCCGGGCGGGCGGTGCCGAACCAGGAAGAAGGCGGCGAAGGTTCTTCTTGGACCGGTCCCGTCGACGGCGACGGGTTCCCCGTTGGCAGGGTGCCCGACGAGAAGAAGAAGATCGAGGCACTCCCGCCGGTCGACCATTCACAAATAGAGGTATGCGCATGCGGTGCCCGCTTTTTTGTTTTTGTTTTATACGTTCTGTGAATGGTGGTTGGGTTGAAAGCTGCAGCCATCAACCCGGATTCGTCGTTGAATGATGGCAGTTGCCGTACGTTACGGCCCAAGTCATTTAACTCGTGTTTTTCATCAGTACTTCACAATTTCATACACTCTGGAGTATTTATGTCATTCTTGTATCTTTCAATCCGGATTCAGGCCCCGTGATTGAAGATAGGGGGGTGCTGTGAATGCCACCTCAGACTGTAGTAGATTGTGACGTCAGATGACCTGTTGGAGATCTACCTTCGGGGTGTTGCCACAGATAGAGCCAGTTACAGATGGATGCTGAACCTTGCTTCAACACAAGGTTGCTCCCCCCCTTGACTCACAACACAACTATCCGTACGCGTCAGCCTCTCCACCAGAGGTTGAACCGGTGTGTATCCACACCACACATCCCAAAGGGATCTTGCTCACACGCGAACCTGGAGACAACCGTCTCATAGTTCTCGTTTTTCTTTTTAGGGGGGGGGGCGGGGCTCACCGGAAAAATATATATAGGGTACTGTACGCACGAATCGTTCTGTCATACGGTACGGGGGGACTGGTTTGTCTGGCAGGGCTTGGCGAATGGGAGGGAGCCGCTGCTCTACTTTTTCCCGCGTGCAGCAGTGGAGGTGTTGATGATTTCATGGCTGCGGGGTTCCCGCCTTTGAGCCTTGACGGGAGCACAGACCATTCCCACGAGGAAGGCAGAACTCAAGAGCGGTTGCTGTCTGTCGCAGAGCAGGCGTTTTTTTGGTACAAGTGGCTCACTTCCGTGTTCCAAGGGGTTCGCGGCGAAGCACGTGGCTCTTTGGGTGTTGGCGCGCCAAGGGAATTGGCCCGTTGCGGGTTGGTTGTGTCCACAAGCCGTTGTTAGTTGCTGTTAAGTTTGGTTCGCTTGTTTGGTTCGGGCGTGCACAGGATGATGGGTGACGATGAAGCACAATTTTTGTGGCGAGTGGCGATGCCAATGCCCCCCAGCTTGGACGTTAGGTGTCCGCGCTTTCTTTATGCCTTGGCAGGACGCCTCCGACATTTGTGTAATTCGTTGATCGTGACATCATTGCGCCATCAAACCGGCCTCGACCACAACGCGCGCGCGTGTGTTTTTAATTTTTAGAATCAACCGCGCTAACGGGCTGACCAATGAAAAGACGTCAGTCTCAGTGCGGTTGAAAGCGCAAAACACTTCTAAATGCCATGAACTGGGATTCGTAGAAGCCGAAATCAAACCATTAGATGAGTCAGCGCTGACTAGTCTAATGGTTTGATTTCGGCTTCTGTTAATCCCGTGAGGGGGCGACATAGGTGTGTGTGTGTGTGTGTGTGTGTGTGTGTGTGTGTGTGATGTCTGTGCTTACGCCGAGGGCATCATGCCCGCCGATGGTGTGCATGTCTCGTTCTCGAGATCGTCTCTCGTGCACCGCACTCGTGCGAGAGATTTTCCCACTTCTTGTTCATCGCGGCTCCTCCGTACTGTCCGGGTTTGTTGATGTCTGTCTCTGACCCCCACAAACAGTACGAGCCCTTCCGCAAGGTTTTCTACGAGCTGCACCCGGACATGGCCAGGCTCAACGCCTGGGAGGTCAAGCAACTCCGCAACGAGCTCCAGGTTTGTTCTTGTAGGGGGGAGCACTCGTGTTTTGCACGCCGTAAGCGGCTAGACGACTGACCACGCGTGCTCTCGAGAGGACGGAGCATGGTTGCAGCGGGACCGATCACCGAGATGGCCAATCGTCTGCTTTGCCAAAGGCGGTTCGTAAATGGCTTCCCTAGCCTATCGTGTCGACGGGCCCTGGGGGGGGAGGGGTTCTCGAGCTTGTGAATGTTTTTTCGTGTCGAAAAGACGTCCGTAGGTTCGATGTTGATTTCGAGCAACGGCAAACGATGTAATCGTGTTTCGAACAGGGCACACTTGGAGAATTTGGTGGTCCTGGTTCACGCATGATTTATTCTCAGCAGCAGCCCTCTGCATGTGTAGATTGATGTATCGCGCGATTGTTCGGGCGGGTGTAAGAGGGGGTTTAGTAAGTGGGTTGTTTGGGGGTGCTCGGCACTCAATACCTCAAGCACGATAATTCTGGGGGGTACGTGGATGCGTATGTGTGGTGGTGGGGAAGTTGGGCGGCGGGTCCCGCGGCAGGGCTCCTCCCTCTTTACTTTCTCTACCCCCACTCTCTCCATCACATATCAACGTCCTGCGGCCAACCTTTGCTCTGATAACAAGCCGTCCGCCTCCTACTAGATGCCCCAACATGAGTGACTACGCTCGAATTGTGGCTGCTGTGTTGCTAAGTACGAACTTCCTCCCTACTCCTCTCTCTCTCTGTCTGTGTCACCGCCAAACCCTCCCCCCTTGTGTTGTTGTTGTTTTTTCGTTTCTCGACGTTTTGGTTAGGTTTCGGTGGAGGCCGGCAAGCAGAGGAACGACACCGGCGTCCCCGCCCCCGTGCAGTCCTTCAAGCACGCCGGCTTCGACGACCTCTTGCTGTCCGAGGTTGTCCGGCAGGGCTTCGAGGCTCCCACGCCGATCCAGGCACAGGCCTTGCCCGTCGTCATGTCGGTGAGGGCCTTTTGACGAGTGGGGCGGTTTAATTTTCGTCGCTGACGATATATCACAATGAGTTATTGTAGTCTGCATTTTTTTTCTTTTTCTTACGATATCCTAGCAGTGAAATTAATACTATGAAATTTGTGTTCTCTTTCTTTCGGTATCACAGTTATTTATTATTTTTCTTACGATATCGCAGTGAATTACAATAATATGTTTTTCTTTTGTTGCGATATCACAGTGAATTGATCTGTTTCATTTCCTTTTTCTCGCGATATCACAGTGAATTAGTGTGTACTTCGACCTTTTTTTTTTTCTTTTTCTCACGATATCACCACGAGGTATTTGATCTATATCCACGGATGAGAGTGCGGGGCAAATTGTCGATGAGCCCACAAGCGTTTTTTCTGGTTGATATTGACCGCGGTGTGTGTGTGTGTGTTTTTTGTTTATGGTAGGTCTCTCTCGCCCTCTGGTGATCCTGTTTTTGGCCGTATTGGTCTTGTTGTACAAGTAACCACATCAAGAAAACACAGCAGTGCGACGTTTCTTGTCGGAAAACCAACCAGGGCTGGGACATGTCGAGAATACCGCCGACACCTCCGGTATGGAACGCCCCTCCTGTCCCACTCCCTTTGGCACGGCGCGCCGAAGATCCAGACCCTATCCCGCACTTTTTTTTTCTTTTTCGATTTTTCCGCATCACTCTTTAACAGTTTTTTTTACCAATCATTTTTTTTTTTCGTTTTCTCAGACCAGTTGTTCTTCTCCATAATCTTTCGCCTCACCCCCCCCCCCCCCCCCCCTT